TGACTTTTTTTTGACAAATTTTGGAAATTTTTTTTTGTTCATAATATCAAATTAAACTTCGTATTTTGAACTATATCGCCTGTAAATTTTATTAAAATCGATCAAAAAGTTTCAGAGTTATTAATTTTTGAAAAAAACGCAACACTCATTTTCAATATGGCGTAGCGGCCGCCATTTTGAAAATTTTTTAAAATCCTTTTAGGGTTAAATTTAATTCATATAAGACTTCTATTTCCCAAGGTTTCGAAGAAATCGGAAGACCACTTGCAAATCGCTTTTTTTCTGACGGAGTCTTACCCTAATATAATAGTTAACACTAAGAGTAATTGACATTTAATATTTTTGTTCCTCACGTTCATTCCTACTGTACCACGCAAACGGAGCAACCTGTTATGGTCCGCCATGTCCAACTTCTCATATTGAGCTATCGGTTTGATATGTTTCGTAAAACGCGGATTGATATTTACGCCCATAGAAACATCTAATCGTCATAAGAAAGCTTGTTTTATATTCTCTATTAAATATTATTTTTCCCTAAATCGCCCTTTTTTCATTTTCTGTCTGGATTTTTAAAAATTAATTATCAAAGTCAAAAATTACACCAAAGGAGGGGAAGTTTTCGACTTTGATAATTAATTTTTAAAAATTTAGACAGAAAATGAAACTTTTTTTCATTTTCTGTCTGGATTTTTAAAAATTAATTATCAAAGTCTAAAATTACACCAAAAGAGGGGAAGTTTTCGACTTTGATAATTAATTTTTAAAAATTTAGACAGAAAATGAAAAAAGGGCGATTTAAGGAAAAATAATATTTAATAGAGAATATAATTCAAACTTACTTATGACGATTAGATGTTTCTGGAGCGTAAATATGAATCCACGTTTTACAAAACAAAACAATAGCTCGATGTAGGACATGACCGACCATAACGGGTTGCACCGTTTTCGTGTTGAAAGTGTTTACGCTATGGTAGTGTAGGGACGTAGATGATCAACAAAAATAATAAGTCATTACTTTTATTATTTAATATTATATAAATAATTATATTTATTTGTTTATTTATCTATTATTATTTAATATCATTCTTATTTTTTAGAAATGTTATAATGGAAAAGTATAAAAAACAGTAATGTAAATTTTTTATGAAAATATTATTAAACATAATTTTTGTCATAAAATTGGATCTTTTTTATGAAAAAAGTTCTTTTTACGAAACACAGAGGTACTCAGAATTTATTTCCAATTACGAAAACCATTTTTGTCTTGAGAAAACGACGTTGATGTTTGCAAATTTTTTCTAACAATTTTTGAAGTCGATTATTAAATTTTCGTCTTTTTTCAACACATTACTGCTTTTTTTTATTAAAAAGGGCATTTTTTAAAATTTATTTTCCTAAATAATTTCATATCATAATTTTTATTCATGAAAAATAGAAAAATTAAGATCAAATTTTGATCAGATATTAAATAAATAAACAAATAATTTTCCATATAGAAAAATTGAATAACATTGTTATTTTTAGAATTTTCAGTTTAAAAACAAAGATTTTTTTCAAAACAATACTTTTTTAGGTAATTATGAAAATCATCGATTTCATTTGGAATTTTTTTGATGGATTTAAAAACATATTTTCTACAAATTACGCGTGTGTTTCGAAATCCACCAATTTTTAAGCAAAATTAAAATTGAAAAAGGGTCAAAATATTTTCTGTCCGCTTTTATTTTATGACCGTTGAATTCCTTACAAAAAATTACTTTAAAACTAATTTTGTGGAATATTTAAATTATATTTTTCTTATACCTATTTAAAAATATCAATAATAAAAATAACAATAAAAAATTTGAAAAATTATGCACTTTATAATTTTTTATTATTTTTTTGTTTGTTTACTAAATTTATGTTTAATAATATTTTCATAAAAAATTTTCCTTTATTGTTTTATTACTTTTTCATAATTATATTTTTAAAAAGTAAGTATAATAATAAATAATAATAAGATATAATAACAATAATAAATAAATAAACAAATAATAAATATAATAGTAAACAATAAGTGTAATTGATATTTAATATTTTTGTTCCTCACGTTCATTCCTACTGTACTACGCAAACGGTGCAACCTGATATAGTCGGCCATGACTAACCTCCCATATTGAGCTGTGTGACGAACGACTATTATCTCGCTCGAATATTTCTCGATTAATCGAGATGCGTTTAAAATGTCGCGGCAAAATATACACTGTTAGAAAATTCTGTTGTGATTTTACAGCAAAGGTACAAGAAACAATTATCCATCAAAATAATAATGTAATTTTACTTCACTAAAGTGCTGTAAATTTACAGTATACCATGTATTTCGAAAATATTCCCTACTATTAATTCGGAAATTCTACCATTTGAATATTTACATAAAAAATAAAAACTGTTTACATTGTTTTCTGATATGTTATAATAAAAGTAAATTAACTAAAAAAAAAGTTTTATTAGCATTTTATTATCATTATTACGGAAATGCGACGCCACGATTTGAACCCTTAGTCGTATATAGTGTTGTATATCTTGTATGGAGCCATCAACCTTGGGAGCTGCGCCTAGACGCGCTCGACCAAGGGAGGCTATGAAAGTCTCTTGCAAAGTATTATGTATATATTGTCCCGACGCGAAATAGTCACTATAATAATCAAATTATTTATTATATGAATGTTGAAAGACTTTTCTTCGATCGACAGTTAAAAATGAATTAATTTAATGTAATAATCGCAAATTAATAAGGAATAAAATATTATCTTTTTGTCAAATTATAAAAATTAATGTTATATTTATTAAAATTATACATCTCCGAACTAAACTAAAGTTAAATTAAAATTTTGCATAAGACAAAAAATAAAAATAAACTAAATTTGTTACAGTATCAAATATAAGAAACATGTGTACCATACTCTATTCTTCTTTTCAGTCCAAAATTATTCACTACTAAAATGCAATATAATTAAAAAATAGTTTTTATTGAAACTATTTTTAAGCTTAAAAAATGATTCAGCTATACTTTTAGGACTTAAAATCATATTCTTAAGGTTAAAATTCAGTCAATGCTATAGTTATAATGTAAAAAACCTCAGCTAAAATCACAAAATGAATATCTGTAAAATTCTTCGAGTTTTATACTGTGATTTCGCAAACAATTTACTGTAAATAAAAAGTACAATTTTTTTTTGCTGTGAATTATTCAAATACAATGAAATTTTGCTGTATTTGTAAGGTTTTACTGTAAAAATTACAACATTTTTGTGAATTTACTACATTTATGTGTTATTACAGCAAAAACTGTAAATTCACAGTATGTTTGTACTGTAAAGTTGCTGTAAAATTACAGAAATTTCTAACAGTGTAATACTAATTATATTTTGATTAAAACCCTGAGATTGAATTGAACTTAGCATCGTATTTTTACAAACATACCTTAAAATAAGAATGTATTCAAAAACATTATTATGTTAAAAATATGAATGAAAAGAAGAATTAAGAAATAGCCGTAGGGATTTCTAAGCAATATGTTCTTCTAATAAAATCATAAAATTTAGTCTAAGACTCAAAAACACATTTCCAGTAATAAGGAAATGGAATTTCCTGTCAACTAAAAAAACAACGTTTTCTAGAAATTCAATAGAGTTGTAAACCGTAGGTAAAGAAGGCGTCATAAAAATATGCGAACCAATTTCTTAAGATGACCCTTTTTTAGGCAGAGCAATAAAATCACATCTGCCTGCAAAATTCGTTATATCCTTTTTCTCATGAAAAAGGCACGTTTTGGAAATCCCACATTTGGCATTTTTTCTGATAAATAAATATGAATTGATTTCATTTATAATTTCTATAATAATTAAAATAATTATTGTAATTAAATTAATGTTACATATTTTGATATTGTACTAACTTCTATTCCAAATTATACCTTACCAATTAATATCAAAACAACTACTTTATTTCTTATTGTTATTAACTAACAAATGTTGAACGTGTATATATGCGTGTGTGATGTGCAGATGTATATATGCACATGAGTATGTTTACATATTAGAAATTATGTATATATTATATTATCTTCATGTTATATTCTTTATGTACAATATAATTATAATGTAAGACACTTCACACATTTAAATGTGGTGTAATTGTAATTTAGATTCATTAATCATAATCGAACAATTTATTAGAAATATAGAAAAGTATGATGAGTGAATAGTATGTATAAGACATACTCTTTTATGTATGTATAGAATTCACAGTGTCGTGCCTTAAAAGTGTTAGTGTCTCGATGTTGAATACATATCCAACAAGAGTGCGCGTCATAGTGAGCATGCGCATTCGGACATTCGTCTCGTCTAACAACAAACTTGTAGAGTTCTAAGCTTGCGCTTGACTAGAAAGGTTCTTGTCGTCTAAGTTCCTTAGTCAGCTTGATTAAAACAAAGTATTTTAATAAACTTAAAGGGTTTTACCTTCGAAAGGAGACAAATATATTATCTTCTTTCGAACGGGTTTCCCTTCCGTTGTACGGAATTTAATCTTGTTTTATTTAAATTATCCCGCTTCCTTTTTAAAGGATTTAACCAAGTCGAATCCGGCCAATCAATCACTTTTGTTAGAGTTGCGTATTAATCGGTAACTCGGCGCGTAACAGCTGTCAGTTTGCTATGTTTTGTAAAACGCGGATTGATATTCACGCCTATAGAAACATCTAATCGTCATAAGAAAACTTGTTTTATATTCAGTATTAAATATTATTTTTCCTTAAATCGCCCTTTTTTTCATTTTCAATCTGGATTTTTTTTAATTAAATATTAAAGTCAAAAAATTGGACCAAGAGTGGTGAAAAGAGGGGAAGGTGAGGAGAAATCGCTCGCTACGCCTATGCGTTCTTTTAAATATTTCCCACCGTGCAGCGTCCTTATCAGCGACCCCCAAGAACAAACAAAGTAATCCATAATAATTCTTACCCAGTTATTCGGTTCTTTTATGGTTCCGTTTATTTTGTGTCCTTTATGCCATACATAATAATCAGTATATGGTTCAATTCCTTTAACACTTTTTTGAAACCAATCATGTTGGTCGGAACTGTGATTAGGTACAAAATCCATTATAACTTTAAGAGACCGTTTATGAGCTGCTTTAACTAAATTTTCAAAATCTTCATTAGTACCAAAGATTTTATCTATTTCAGTAAAGCTAGATGCATCATAACCATAGTCAATCATTGGACTCTTATAAATAGGTGACAACCAAAATGCATCTATATGAGAATCAACCAAGTGACCTAATCTTTGTTCAATACCTTAAAATCATAAATACAAGTTATTTTACGATTATACTTCTCTAATACGATATTTTATATCCATTCATTAAATATTTATTTTCTTAGTTTTGATTATTATTGATGTTATTAGTACTAATAAGTACACATTTTTTTCGAGGACCTTTGGGAAATCTTTTACAAAGGACAGAAAAATTAAATATAAATTTATATATATATATATATATATATATGTGGACGTCCACATGAAAAGGGCCCATTTTGGCACTATTGGAGTTATCTATATGGGCGTATTCCTGGCAAAATTTGGAAAATTTTGAGTGGTCTTAGAACTTTTTTAGTTAAAAATTCGATGAGTTACGGAATTTCAAAGTTTAGAACGCCAAAGACCTCATTTCGAGAAAAACGGAATTAAAGATTGCGATACAAACTAATTGTTGTATCTCCGGTTCTTCTTGGAAGTTATTCAGATAAGAATTGTTTCCAGTTCAGGGCACCTTGAAGACAAAAAACCAACAGGTTTTAAATTTTTAAAACCATCCCCCCTCTTAATTTTGAAAATAACGAAAAACCGACAATATGGGCCCTTTTCTATAAAAGACAGTTTTTCTATTAAAAAACCATTTTTTTACAAGATTAATGATTAGATACAATTTTATTGTGTCAATTGAAGAAAAAGAATAGATATTAAACTTATTTAAAATTTTTTGACAGTCTCTATTATGAAAAAATTGACGCAATATCCAAATTTTCATTTCATTTCATTTTTTACAAGATTAATGATTAGATACAATTTTATTGTGTCATCTGAAGAAAAAGAATATATATTAAACTGATTTAAAATTTTTTGACAGTCTCTATTGTGAAAAAATTGACGCAATATCCAAATTTTTATTTCGACAATTACGAAAAAAAGACTCTAACATCAATATCTCTGGTTCTTCTGGGAAGTTATTCAGATAAGAATTTATTGTTTACAGTCCAGGACACCTTAAAGATAAAAAATCAAGAGGTTTTAAATTTTTCCACACCTCCATTTTTAAAATACGGATTAATTTTGCAAATGACCGACAAAAAGGGCCCTTCTCATTTTTCTAAAGAACCAATGAAATCAAACAGTTAAATTATCGATAAATTAATGAAAACCGCATTATTTGACTTGACAAAACACGTAGATTGATAATAAAAAATAAAAAAAAAATTAAGATTTTGCTCCAAAATTACTAAATTGCGATTATCTCGAAAACTGGAACCGACAATATGGGCCCTTTTCATGTGGACGTCCACATATTATAAATATTCCTTTAGAAAAATCCCAAAAACTGCATTTTTCCGACCACCTGAGTAGGTATAACCCTTTAAAAATAATCTAGAAAAATTGTTCTTAGTGAATCCGATGAATATTTGAAAAAGCCGTCTCGATATTGGATCTCCCTACTAAAAATAAAATCACAAAACGACAGAAATTTAGTCAGAATCTCTGACGTTTTTAGGCTGCATTTGTTACGATTGCAGCCACAGAACGTCAGGCTTGAGTCATGTTTAATCAGAAAGCTTCAAAAGTAGTCAGGTTTTTTATACAAAGTCGACACCCTTTTTTACCTGGAAAAAGGTCAACTGACCGTCATAAAATTGAAGGGAAATCTTTTTATTTGTTTATATTCATATTTATTTAAACATTATACTTGTTTCATCGACTTAGAATTCATCTAACAATATGCTCTTATTATGCATGCAGTATATCCTTTAGAACTTAAATTCAAAAATGATATCCATTTTTATTTAACAATTACGGTTTTCGAGATACGTTACAGTTTCCTTAAAAAAATGTTTTTTATAATAAATTTTAGATATTTGTAATTGTGGAGATTTCTAGATTTTGAATTTATATTCATTTTACTTGAAATTTTAAAATTGCAAAACTTTTGAGCAATATAAAAATTAGGTTAGAGACCCGAACCTCGTAACAATAGACCCGCAATTCTATTGTGAAAAAGGGCTACGCACAAATTTCAAGTTTTAACGGTACTTTACATTTACCGGCTATATTTCGGTGAGGGGCTGTAAATAAAAAAAAAGATTTCAATGCTCAATAATCACAATCCATAAACATCAGGATTTAACAGGAGCATAAAAAATCCTTTAGTCAGAATTAACCAAAAGCTTCAGGAATCGTCAAAGTAGTCACAAAACATCAAAATTTCTGACGTTCTCTCTTTATTTCTGATTTTATTTTTACCAGGGCTTACATTTTTAATTTTAAAAAACAAAGGTTATATACGTAATCAGAGATTCGAAAATCCCCTGAGTAACATGTTTCAAGCGAATTTTAACAAATTTCAAGAAATTTATCTTACTAATTTATCCTAGGGCTAATAAGCTCTTCAAGGAACGAAATACATAAATCGATACAGAGCAATGAGTATATGTATTAACCTAAGTTGAACATTATTTCATGAGATTTTAAATGTGGCGCGTTTTAAATCATTTAATTTTAATTTAAACAATTAAAATGTTTATAAGCATATATATTGTTATCAGCACTTTGAAACTCATTTAAACATAGGTCGTACATTTATTTATTACCTTTAAGATCTCCAATCCCGTCTCCATCGCTATCCATGAAACTTCTAGGATATACTTGGTACAGTGACATTGTTTCCCACCACAATTGTGTACTTTGTACATTGCAGGTAAGAAGGGCCAGAACGCATATTTCCATGTAAATCCTCATTTTTCTAAAAAGATGAACAAATATTTATTAACAATTAGCAAAATATTCCTCGCTCGCCATTTTGACGGTTTTATTTTAGGAGATAATCTCAATTCTCTTAAAGTGGTTCAAATTTTTTATTTTGCTTCCTCATAAAGGAAGCCTTATAGTGATGTCGATTTCCGAATTTTTTAAAATCAATTATTTTTACAAATTTTCAAGTGTAGTATATATAATTCGTCGAGAGGAACAAATGTCCGGATGTATGTGTGTATGTATGTGTGTGTGTGTGTGTGTATGTATGTGTGTGTGTGTGTGTATGTCACCGATTCTTGTGGACAAATTTTCTCTTACACGTCTTGACGGATTTTGATAAAATTTTGTAGGTGTATTACGGTCACGAATACCAAAAATCAGACAGAAGGATTTTCAAAAATATCTAAAAAAAAAATTTTTTCAACAATTTTTTAATTTTTGAAAAAATTAATTTTTGGATTTTTTGAAATAACTTTTTTCTATATTAAAATTTTTATTAATTCTTGTCAAAATTGCATTCCTGACATAAAAACGAATCGATTCATGTATATAAAGTATATATTTTATCAAAATTTATAGAATTAATAAATATTTTAATTTTTCACAAAAAATTGAAATTTTGTATTTTTTGAAATTTTATCTTAACACTTTAAAATAATTATTCTAAAATAAAAAATTAAACAATTGGTATATATTATATTGAGGAAGCTTAATGATCATGAAATGAACAACTTGTTTATTTTATTGATGAAAACCAAACTCCAAAATGCCCCAAGTTAAATTATGTGTTTACGATGCCTTTATCGTAATTAAATAAACTATCACGGATAAAAATAAATAGTAATAATTATACTAGTTTCGATAGAAAATTACTACTTTTAAGTAGTAATTTTGAAACTGCTTAAGAAATAGTAACTTTTGCTTCGTTTTCACACGATTTTTACTTTTTTTAAAAAGTTTAATTTACTTTAAGGAATCTAAATTTGATTAAAAGCCGAGTAATATTTAAAATGTCCCGAACAATTAATACTCCGAGCGAAGCAACTTTTATTACGAATCAGAGCAATTATTACTATTTCGGAAAGATTTTTACTCGAAAAAGTAGTAATCCTTACCCACTCAATGGCGCGCCTCACACCGACGGGTAATATTACGTGCTACATGGGTTTTGATAAAGTGAATCATACATTTTATTTATTTAGATAAGTTACTGAATTAAAATATAAAAATTAATAATAATAATGCGATAATAATAATAATAGCCCAGTGGGCAAAAAATCATCATTGTTTTAAAAACGTTCCAAAAACATTTTTGGAACGTTTTTAAAACAATGGTGGTTTTTTGACGACTGAGAGGGTAGGGTGGGGCATTACTGTTAGAGCCGAATTTGAAAAATTAAATAAATTAATTTAATAATATCAAATTTTTAAAGAAACTTTAACTAAACGTGTCCTTCGGACAAAATAATTTGTAAAGGGTAGTGGATTCTTCCCTCTACTTGGTTATTGGTTCAACCAAGGGGTGAGAATCCTATCCCTTGAATTTGGAGAAGATAGGATAGTTTTAGGAATAATTAAATTATAAGCAAAAATAAGATTAAACAATATAAGATATATATTTTCCCAATGAGTCCCTAATACAAATAAAACTAATCTTTACGTGTGTAAAAAATACGTGTGAATCTGTACGTGTGAATGAGATAATCGTGTGTGTCGTAAAATGTAAGATGTTTTTACTCACTACTTGGTATTCTGTACTTCGAAATTCGAATCCAATGACGAATCTTGTTTTTATCCTCTTTACTATGAACTTTAATATTCCTTAGATAATGCACAATGCTGAGACTTCAATTCTTTTACTCTTTAACATAATTTATGATTTCTTTAAATTTATTTTCATTTCTTTTATTTTAATATTTCTTTTCAATTCCCTATATTTAATTTTTATTAAGTAAATTCTCTCTATTTATTTTCTTTCACTATATTTCAATATTTTTCTTATATTTCTTTGATTCCTTTAATTACACAATTTAATTATTTATATTCAATATATATATTTTCAATTCAATCTTCTTTAACTTTTATTTATTTATATTATTCTCAATTGTATTCACTTTCTTTAAACAAACTTTTTATTCTACCGTTAGACTTTCGATACGATTAACACGGCTAAATGCCGGACTTAGAACTTCAGGCTACAATGGCCTGGACTAAAACTGCGGGCCTAAACTGCCCGGGCTAATTGCCGGCTACAACGGCCTGGCTTAAACTGCCTCGATTTCCCGGTGTCAATCAATTTTATTGAAAGACGATTTAGTGGGGAAATCGTATGTTAGGTTCATTGTACTTGACTGTTGTCAAGTCAATTTCTGCAACCTTGCAGATTTAGGCAGTGGTGTGATCCGAGTTCAGTGACTTGGATGCACCACTCCTTATATTGAGCAATTTAACTTTGATATTTTCTAACTAATTTTCAAAAGGGTCAATAAACTGTTTGTCCAAGAAAAGGAATTTATTAAGAAATACCGTGTTTTATTCTTAGGCTTTTCATTTCAAATTGTGAAACTTAAAGGAATGTTAAATCTATTGAAATATATATTATTTATATAAAGTTAGATCTTTTTCCAATTAAAATATTCTGGATTAAGATATTCAAAGAGAAGAATGTCCCTTTTGTGAAATTTGTTGTTGTTTTTGTGTAAATGTTTTGTGTTGTTTAACAAAATCTCAAATTGCGTGTAATTGTTGCATGTAATTTTAGTTTAAGTATAATTAAAAAAAGGTATTAACAATATAAAAAATTACGGAGTTCGGCCGTAACAATTACTATTCTTGTTTGGATTTTTGAGTCTAAAAAGTGTATTTAAAAAAAATAAAAAAATTAGTAGGACTGTTTGAAAACTTGACTTCTTAGCTACAATTTTGCCATGTATCATTTTGCTGTAACTCGATTCTGTTCCGAACTACAGCGATTTTACGAAACCCTTTTTTTATCTCGAAAAAAACGAGGGGCGAAACTATTCCAGCAGCTATTAATGATATAATACTAAAAAAACTATAAAAATTAATTTGTAAATTGGAGAAGTTTTTCTGGTTTTTCTCTTCCAATTTCTCACCATTCTAACCTAAAAACAAGCACATAAAAAATACTGTTTCGTAGTTTTCGCTGTCATCAGTGGGCGAATAGTTTCGCCCCAACCGCACATTTTTTGAGAAAACACTTGTAAAATTTTTGAACAATAGAATATCAAAAATCTATTATGATATTCGTGGTCACCCAGTAAGAAACGAAAAATTGAAAAGTATTAAAAAGATTCTATTCTTTTGAATGCCATTTCTGTCCAATACTTTTCTATCCAGTGAGAGCAATATGAAAAGTAACGATATCAATCCTCTTGAATACCGCCCAGTAAGAAAGCAAAGATTAAGAAGCATTAAAAAAATTCTATCCTTTTGAATACCATTTCTGTCCTATGCTTCTGAATTCCGCGACAGTAGTATAATAATATAATACTAATATTGTTGACATATAGAATGTTCAATTACTTTCAAATAACTGCACTCAAGACTTTATTTGATATTTTAAAAAGGAATAATTATTAAATTATCAGTTAAGAGGGTTAAAAGTGTTTAAAGGTCTCTGAAATTTTTAGGTTACGATTTATTGTCTAACAGAATAACGGCCCTGACTCGTTTAAATGACGTAAAATTGGTAAACAATCAATTTTTCAGCAAGTCTTTCTTTGAACACAAACACTTTTTGCAAAATCTGCCACTGTGTGTATCTTATAAATTACAAAAATCCAGAAGATTGCTTGAATGCATGCAGAAACGCGGTTCCAATGAAAAATTCAGTGCTTGGATACAACAAGGGGACGTACGCTCGGCGAGCCGCTTTAACCCCTTCACAGTCGAGTGAAAATAAAGTTTTTGTGCCATAAGTGTTCAAAAAAATTTTTTTTTTAAAAATCATGATATTGTCATATTATATGTTTTTGAGGTCACTGATTCAAAATCCGTGGTCGAAAAGCCAAAATTCAAAATGGCGGCTTCAAAATATCCACCAAAAAAAATTAAAAAGTTAACGAATTCGTTAACTTAAAAATTTTTTTTAGCTTTTTTAAAGCAGCCATTTTAAATTTTGAATTTTCGACAACGGATTTGGATTCAGCGACCCCGAAAACCCCCGAGTAAGGATTTTTAGCCATATTCGTTAACTTTTAAATGTCTTTTTTTTCGATGGCCCTATAGAGCCCATGGACATACAGGGCACGACATTTTTATGGCTCTATAGAGCCCACTGACAGTGAAGGGGTTAAAGTCAGTCAAAGGTACCGTAAAGTGTAAAAAATGATAATTCAAAATTTTGAATTTTGAAAACTGCCATCTCATAGGAAATAGAAATGCGCATCTTTTTTTCCTTTGAAATTTCTTTGAATAATTAATATTTTTATATGATAATGGAAAAAATGTGATTAATTTTCATTGTCAAATTTCATTGAATTTTAAAATATAAATCGTCGTATCTCCGACAAAAATGAATGAATTCTTTTGATTTTTGGTATACAAATGCATTTGGACCTATAGAAGACGACAATATCACGAAAATGTTAAAAGCAATTAATTGTTTATTGATTTTTAATTGTTAATACTGACCGGTCAAAAATAATTTTTTCTTATCTTTGGCTGCAAAAAGTATGCGGGGAACTTTAAAATTCAAACAACTTCCAGTGAGACATTTGTTTATTACGATGTAAAAAAGTTTTCTGTAAAATTGAAGAAAGATTAGTTTTATATTTACATAAATACAATAGTTTTAAGAAAAATGCTCGCGCCGCCAACGATCCCTACCGCACAGGTTTTAAGGTTAGTTGCACAGTAAAGTTTTATTTATATATAAATATATGTGTGTAATATTTGCATTGAATTATTTATTAACTATTACATACTATACAACATAGGTATAAACTTTTTTAATAATTTTGTAAA